TCGGCTCAGCACCGCCCTCATCATCCCCAACGCAAAACTTCTTCGTAGCAGCATCATAATACTTGCCAAACCCCATCAACGTCGGATCCACAGACGTGCTCCGCCCCTTTGCCGCACCGCGCGTGGGTGAGCGCGCAGACGCGGTGCGTGCTTCATAGGACGCGATGCGGGAAGAGAGGAGGTTGCTCTGACTTGTGCTGGGGCTTGGGTTCTGAGTGGGCCTGACGTTAACATTGACGGTTCTAGGGAGGCGGGAGGGTGTGGGTGGAGATGGGGAAGATGGCGCTGAGTGCTTTGTTTTGGACGCGGAGGTGTTGGAGGATTTGTTGGTGGTGGTGTTGGTTTCCTTGCCGGTGCTGGAGAAGGGAGGGGGTGGCGAGGATGTGGGTGTTTCGGGTGCGTCGTGGAAGTGGGAGGGTGTGGGGATGGAGGTTGAAGAGGAGGATGGAGATGGCCATGGGGAGGGAGTGTAAGTGTAGTTGGTGGTGTTGGCGTTGGGTAGACCAGGTGAGGATGCGGATGGTGTGGCGGGGAATGCGAAGTCTTCTTCTGCGGCGGCGCGGAACTTGGAGGTGTTGCGTCGGGGCATGGTTGCTCGCTCACTGACTCACAAGTGAGTGCGGTGCTTGTGACGAGAGAAGTGGTAGGGTGATGTAGGACGATGTCTTGCCGTCTTGTATCCCGCTTTGCTGTAGGGTACAAATAATAGGAGTTCAGTGTTGGAAACTGAGATGAAGAAGGAGGAAACGTCTCCCCTCAGTACTATGGCAGTGCAGAACCCGTCTTTACAACCCCCCTCTCTGCCACTCAATAGATCATCCTCACCTCATTCCTTACACATCGACCGCCTGCTTTGAGTATCAGGGTACTATGCTGATGTCGAGAACAGCTAAATCCCCCGGATCAGGGTCTTGACGCTGTAATGACGCACCTCAACACCCCTTCACACAAACTAACCGACCTCTCATACTTATACTCCGCAGCACAATCCCACTATGAAAAAATACAGAGAAACTGGCGTTAAGAAGAGAAAAAAGTGGAAAGACAGTTCAACAAGGGAAGTAAGTAGATCAGGTGTGAAGTTGGAAGCATCTTGGCGCAGATACGGCTTCCTTCGTATCAGTATAAGTACCCGATTTCCGCAGACAAACAAGGGTTCACTCACGACCCATACTTCCACGCTGTTCATACATCACCCAGACCCTTGACTTTACCCACCATTCGTCTCCACGCCTTTCCCCCACATCGAATCCCAAAACAGGAGGCAAAGCACAACCAACTGCATACTCATAATCGCCGCAAATATATCAAATAGATATATACACCAAGAAATGCTACCACTATGGGGTATTGAACTATACGGAAACCAAGAAAAAAAAGCCCGTAAACTCGTGAATAGCTCGCTTTCGTATGCTTCTTGCCAGAACACGCCTTTGGAAACTCCTGATATAACACCCTACGCATAGCCCTGGGGAACCAAAACACTTTGTACGATCCCTGAAAACACATGTAGCCAAAGCCCGACGCCGAAGCCAGAGCCGAAGCTCGTCCATCTTTTCCCATTCACGCACCATTCTTGTCCGCCTTCCCAGACAGCAGACTTCAGTCTTTTCCACTCTTCCCACCATCTCCTCATACCAGGCGCAAACCCTCCACCACCACCACCGCACATCCACCCCCCCTCTAATAAACCTCCCCATGCTCCTCCTTCGGCTTATACATAATCGTCGTCAAAAACTATATCCACACATTAGCATGCATCCTCATCCCCATCATCCACTTCCCCCACAAACTCTTCATTTCACATACCTTCTGTTTATACCTCGTAGTAGCACTAGTAGCCAAAATATTATCCTTGATGCTGCTCGTCGCCAGATGATTCAGGACGGTATGATTCGGATGAATCAACACACTGCTATCATCCTTCATCGGCGTCGTGCCGTTCAATATACTCTTGCCCAGGAAACCAGGGAGGGAGGGCGGCGCAGGCAGATTATTCGTCATGGCGTTTGCGCGCGCGAAACGGGATGATTCCTCGGGCGCATCGAGATCGAGGAGGTAGCGGGGGATGTTTTGGTGGTATTTCTTCGTCGGCTCGGGAACCACCGGTTTGGCTGGTTCGATTGGGGGCGCGGTGATGGAGGCGGGGTCTAGATCGGGGGTGGGGGGTAGGATTTGGGGCGGGTACATGCCGGCTGGGGCTTCGCGTTCTTGGACGGGGGTTGCGGCATCGAGGGGGTCGGTGGCTGCGGCGGCGTCTTTTGCTGGGGGGCTGGCGGGGAGGGGTGTGAGTTCGGGGTAGGGGACTTCGATGTAGTTTACGAGGATGTTGGTGTAGTCTACGGCGGTGGGGAGCTTGTCGCTTGTGCGCATGTCGTTGTCGACGAGGAAGGTGAGGTGGTGGGTTCCTGGGGTGACGGAGACGTAGGCGGAGAGGGCATCTTTTTTCTTGCTGGGGCCGCTGGGAGATGTTAGTACTGTCGGTGTGTGGTGTAACCTCGAAGGCGGCAGATGCAGAATCGAGTTCGAGGCGCAACCTTCATATGCGTCTGCCTGCATCGACCGTTATAGCCAGGCGCATGGCTGTCTAGCCAATCATTCCCAGGCAGAGTCCATGCTCCAAGACATGCAGTACTTACTTCCTATGCAACTTATATTTCCGATTCCACCCCGCAAAAGTGCCCGTCACATAAACCCTCTCCCCACTCCCCTCCCACTCAATCAGCGTCGGCACAGTCGGCCTCCCCTGCCCGGGCCCCTTGAACTCCTCGCCCAGATCCTCATCATCCGCCGTTGTCGTACTCAGCATAGAGCTTCTGCGCGGCAACATGCCATCGGCGTCGCTCTCGTGGACGGGCGTCCATATCTCCTGGGGCGAGATGATGGGGCTGCCGGGGGTGTGTACTTCTTCTTCTATGGGGAGGGGGAGGCGCGGGGGGCGCGAGAATTGGGATGTTGGGGGCAGGTAGTCGGAGGCGGAGGCTGGGTCGAGGGAGGAGGGGATGGCGGAGGAGAGGGGTGGGGAGGAGCTTGCTGCGAGGGTGGAGGGGACGTCGACGGGGGCGGTGGGCGAGGGCGCGCGGGGTGAGGTTTCTGTCGAGGGCGCTGCGTCAATGGGCGCTGCGTCGGGTACAGGCGCTGGTTGCGGGGGAGTGGCATCGCGGGAGGCGGCATGGCCCTGCTTGTCCTTGTCCTTGTCCTTGTCGCTGCTGCGGAAGTGGGCGCCCTTCTGGCTGCTCTGCTCGTTGCCCATAGTGGCGGCGGCGTCGTGGTGGGCGCTGTGGTTGCGGGCCTGGGTGTTGTTGTAGTGGTCCTGGGCGGCCTGCAGCTGCGAGGTAATGGCCCTGGTGCTAGTTCCCACGGTTTGCGCTCTCCCACGCGAGATGGGGCGGGCCGACGTGGGATGGCTCTCAGCGTCGACGAGGCTCACGCTGGGAGCCGCGGGGGCTTTGGCCGCACTCAGCGCCTGGATCGACTCGCGGCGGCGGGCGCTGTGGTGCTGGCTGTGCGGCGGGTGAAGGTGCGGCAGGTGGTGGTGGTGTTGGGGTCGCTCGTGCCCGTGGCCGCTGGGATTGCCGTGCCCGTGGCCATGTGATGCAGTCACGTTGTTGGTGGGCGAGGCCGGGTTCGACGTCGGCGTCGTCGACCGCGAATTCTGGTTCCCCATGGATACGCCCGCTGGATATGTGCACGAGGGCGACGTTACAGGACTGAAGTTGAAGCTGGCCCCGGCCGTTGGATTGCATGCAGCGCCTCACAGGGATTAGCATTTCCATGGCTGCACCCATCGCCGATAGCTCAATGCACGAGCCAATGACACCTATCGTGGGGCAGTCGGCCCTGTATCGTGAGTCGCGCCCGTCCACCACCAACGCGTCAACACATCTGCCCGCGCGGATATGGACGCGAGCACCGTCTTCTCAGTCGTCGCACGCATCTCCGTGCAGCTGGCACACGTGATTTGGTTTCCCATCAACAAACTCATCAATCTCGTCGTCATCCTATTACTTCCATTCTACAACGTCATCACATTCGTCCTGCTACCCTTCATCCACCTCGGGCAGTCAATCATCAAAGTGTTATCGATACCATTCAGTGTCAAGTGGTTGGAGAGGATAGAGGTATTCAATCTTGCTCCATTGCGTATAATCTCTACCATACTAATCTACAAAGACGCTATACGTCTACTTCGGAACAGCCAGCCTCATAGGATGCATCACCGGCACCATCATCTTTGTTATCTTTAGATTCCTGTCATCGACCCTCAAGATCGACGCACCCATCGTGCCCAAGGAACCTGAACAGGGAAGAACAGCCGCCGAGTACAGGGCGGCGCGGCGTGTGAAGAGGGAGGAACCCATCGACCATTCACCGAGTGCGACGCCCGTGGTGTTGAAAAAGGTTGCTGGGCCTCGCAGGCGGGGTCTGCTCTCACAAGCCATCATCGAAGAAGAGGACTCCGACTTTTGACCTCATCCAGCCTGGTCAGACGATGTTGTTGGGAACAGATACCAGAGTAGAATGACCAGAGTCTCTCCATTGTGAATCCGAACGTATGCTGGGGCTCCGATGAAGCGTCGTTGATGTGTGATCTTTGCTGAGACCTCGCCTGCTTGGAAACCTCCCTTCGTCATCTTTGTCTGCATCGTCCGAAAACGAATTCAAGGAAAGGTCCGACATTGAAATCTTCTTTCGCATCGGGGGCTGTGCTGCAGGCCGTGGAACTTGCGGACACGTGTTTTGACGTGCCGGTGGCCTGCAGCGTGTCAGATACGAGTATATGGAAGGCTCGTTACTCACGCTGCAGAACCGCCTTCTTTCTCGTCGGTACCAGCCAATGTGAGCCAGTGCAATACCACAGCAGCCCACGTGACTGTTGACATTCGGTTAGCCAGATTCACAACAAGCTGGTGGTGAAAGTACCATCCAACGTGCAAATCGTATAGCAGACCTGTCGCCACCAGAACACGTCAGTGAATGCCTTCATGTTCAGTCAGAGCTCAACGGACAAAGGCCAGTTCGTTTCCCTGCAGGATGCACAGAGAGGCAAGGTTTGCGCCAGTCGGCACGATAACAATGACTGTTCCCCAGAAAGTCTTCCACAGTAGAGTCTCAACTTTCTTTGCCATGACTTCGTTTGATCGATGAAGGTTCGGCGTGGCTTTATTCTTTGTCTGACTACAAATATTGCCGATCCACAGCGCTAAACGGCTCGGGAAACTGGCGCTCGAGGTCTGGCCGCCTCTGACCAAAGGGCTCAAGAGGTAAACAAACACAAGCGTGAGGTAGACGTTGATGACAATATCGCATGTCAAGAGCGGGATGCCCGTGTATCGCTTGACACCAATGCGGCAACGTCCATCGTCGGAGATCCAGAAGACCGGTAGGATGAACGCGACACATCCAATGGTACCGAGGCTCACTACGATGCCAATTGTGCTGTATAGCCATAACGGATCACGATAGCGCGTCATGTAAGGTGCTCGTAGGGCGTGCGCTCGCTCGACGAGAAAGAGATACCTACCCACCAAGCCGGGTATTAGTTTTTCCAATCCATCCATGATCTCTCTAAGAGGGACCGCCTCACATGCTCACTTTACTGCCGGCATAGAAGACGATGCACAGCCTCATGGCGACCTTGCAGACAGCGTTTGTTCCTAGCCCTAGGCCGTTGTTTACGACTGCGGCCGAGAAAGCGAAGCCAATCGAGAGGAAGTAGAGGATGAAGACGTAGACCTGGGTCAGGGTTATGCGATTGAAGGGCTGGCGGTCAAGTATTCGAACGCGATATCCTGTTCTTGTCAGTTGTACGTTGCATCTAGACGAAGCGAGCAGTCTTGCGTACCAAGTAGCCCAGATAGCAGGATGACGCAGAACTTGGAAGTTACAACAAATGATGTACGTGGTCCAGGCGGTTCACCAGGATAAACATCCGCTCTGTCTGGCAATGTAGGCTTATCGTTCGAGATGGCCGCGGACATGACCGCAGCTACTAGCAACGTCCATAGTCCGAGTGGGATCAGCATCGTGGTAGGAGTTGTTGTGCAGAATACCAGCTGAATGGAAGTTTAACTAAGAGCGTTAAGTTGGTGACATGGCTAGAAGGTACTGATAGGTCGTAGGGCGTTGTTCGGCATAGCAAAGTCGAACAAGGTGAAAAATGAAGGTGCCTTGCTCTCGTGCTGCGAGTTCAGCATACTGCAGTTGACACGCTCAAGCGTCGCTTCTATCACATCTCCTATGGTGGAGGCGCGACGGCGAGTAACAGCTTCTCGAATAAGCGAGAAATCTTTCGGCCAGTCGACCTTACTTATCAACGCCTGAGATGGCAACATTCAACACCCAGACTACTCGACAGCGATTTCGCAATTCAAGATGAGACCTCAGGCGGATCACGGACTTGTTACAAAACGCGGAGTAAATTCGACGGGATGCGACCCGACGGAATCAAGATGCTCGCACGCACTTGCAAGGCTCGGCTACAGCCCTCGGAGGTCTTGGCGAAGACCCTTCTCCACACATTCAAGTGGATGCTAGCAGCAACCGAATCATGAGTTGTGTACTCCGCTCCAGCCTGGTACCGTGCTACCCGCGGAACAATTCTCAATCAACATCGTCATTGTGTAGACAAGGCTTGGTGTTGGTACGTCATGAAGCTCGCTTCCTGCCGTGGGAGTGAGAAACCAAGTACCAGGGTCACGATAGCAAAAACTACCGAGACAGCACTGAATGCGCCGACTGTCGAATTGGGCGCTAGTCTACCAAGGTCCATCTCTTTGCTGGGTTTTCTCCCAGTTTGGTGGGTCCTGATCGACTAGCAGCAGGTGCAAAAGAAATTTGCCCGCCAAACACACGCCAGGGCGCCTAGCAACGGTGTGTACATACACTGCGGGCTGTTAGCTTCCAAGGTTATCGCGCGTACTGCGCAACTGCTTGGTCGACGTAGGAGACATGTGAGCTGCTCTTGGCTGGCTGCGTAGAATGTGGGAACTGGTGGGAAGCGAGTGTGGGAGATGTAGCGCGCTGCAGCATCGCGTCATAGGCGGGACGGAAATGCCTCACTACACAGCCTCTCGCGACGATGACGGCTTATGGAACTGACTGCGAGTGAGAGACGGGGCTGTTTGCGTTGACCAGACAGTGAAATTGGACCCAAGAGCGGTGGAACAAGGCGAGCACACTCAGATATTCACCGCAACGGTGTGGGGGTGGATGGTCGCAGCTCGAACCGTGTTTGACATGTGAAGTGCCTGGAGGGGGCAGGCGCGAACCCCGTTAGCGTGCCTCCTGAGATTGGGCGTCTGTGCACAGCCTCACTCTAGCCCTCTAGACGCGCAGCGCCCGTCTTTTGTCTCACGCCCACGCCTCTGCCCTTTTCTCCCTCCCCCTCCCGCCAAGTACTAGACGGACGTTGATGCTTGCCGGATGCTTGATTTATACCTCTTTTAATACCACATCTCTATCCCGCCCTCGCGCCTTTTCTTCACTCACCACCTAGTCCGTGCACAACGATCCATCGGGAAAGGAGGCAGAGAACAATACAGCAACCATGCGGAGAGGCGTCACCATATTCCTGCTGGTCACCATCGTCGTCCTCGGCTTCGCGGTACACAGCGTATGGACACTGCTCGGTCTTCTGATTGCGACTGGCCGCGAGGATGCCATTCTCCGCGGAGAACTCCCTGCGCCCAACTCGAGCGCGATTAGTGATGCGCCGCAATTGATCCCCAAGATCATCCACCAGACGTACATCAACGACAGTATACCGCTGCACTGGAAGGGCCCCCAGCAGAGCTGCCTGGACCTCCATCCCGACTACGAGTACAAGCTGTGGACCGACAAGAAGTCGCGCGAGTTTATCGCTCAAGAGTAGGCGCTCCCACGTCCATGTCACGCGAGGTTTTAGCTAACATTGTCAGATACCCATGGTTCCTCGAGACTTTCGACGGTTACCCCTACCCCATCCAGCGCGCCGATGCTATTCGCTACTTTGTCCTGCACCACTTTGGTGGAATTTACATTGACTTGGACGATGTACGTATGGCATGTCCTCTCAACCGTCGCAATGCTAACATTCTCAGGGATGCAACCGCAGTCTCGACCCTCTTCTTGCCTACCCAGCTTGGGTTCGCCGCACCATTCCCACTGGTATCTCGAACGATGCCATGGGCGCGGTCCCTCGTCACCCTTTCTTCCTCAAGGCCATCGACTCCCTGACCGACTACAACCGTCGCTGGCCACTCCCCTACATCACCGTCATGGCCTCCACCGGACCTCTCTTCCTCAGTCTTGTGTGGAGACATTACAACAACGCCGGCCCCATCGACCAGAACCGCGTGCGCATCCTGTTCCCCGAAGAATACAACAACCACCCCTGGAGTTTCTTCACCCACCACCTCGGAAACAGCTGGCACAGGACCGATGTCAAGATCATCTTCTGGCTCGCCAAGCACTGGCTCCTTGTCACCGTCTTCGGATTCGTCGTTGGATTCGCAATCCTCGGCATGTTGTACAAGTTCTTCGTTCTCAACAAGCGCACGACCGGACCTGGATCGCCAAAGATGCGCTACTTCAACCAAAGGATGCCCTTCTACCGTCGCATCAGCCAAAAACGAAGCTTCGAGCTCGACGACCGCCACGAAGTCTGATCGCATCATCCAGTCCGCGCATTGCATTGTTTCAGCGTTACGTCCGTTCACATGTCTTGCATTTATCCGGCGTTTTCCACCATCATCATCGCAGCCGCCTCGTATTTTCGCTTCTACGTTACCCTACAACACCTTTTGTTCGCTTCTATCCACATTATTGATCGAGGGCTGCGTTGCCCTCCTAGCTTGTTTAACTGTTGTTACATTGTGGTATTTAGACCACAACCGGCGCTGTTGGTATACATGAAAAGGCTGGACCACTGTCGTTGTCTGAAGAGGGGGACTTGGGGTGGAATCCTCATAGAAAGGGAAAGGGCCAGACCGGGGCCGGACCGCGGAGGCATCAGTATGAAAGACCGAAGAGCTCGGCTTAGGGATGCGAAGTGTTGTTATCTAGATAGAAGAAGAAGCGTTATTGCTTATGTTAATATGAAATGTATTGAGTAGTTATCATCCCGAACTGTAATCAAGGCCGTGACTTTTCATGCATGTGTCGAGTATGAGATGATGACTGTAGACAGCTGCGTATCGCTCTCAACCAAAACAAAGATAACTAAACAGACTTCCCATTAAGAGGATCTTCCATGTTCAACTGCGATCACGAACGGTTGAGGAACTATGTCTTTCCGAGCTTTCCGAACGACATGCGAACACGCAAATGTGGCCCCACTTGTTGCCATCATCCGCATATGATTGGCCCCCAAGCCCTGACCCTTCCGCCTCGCTACTTCCCTCCCCTTGTCATCAAGCTTACTATGTTCGTAACTATATCGCGACGTCGCGTGTGCCAGGGCAATGCTGGCATGTACTTCGCTGGTGGCTGCACGTTCAACACGAACCTGAGCGTTTAAGAGCAAGTGAAGTTTGTTTACTTTTTCAATATGGAGAGATCGGCAGATTGTCGTGGCCACTGCGCAGCTTTGGGATGGATGACGTGGTACGTCGGGAAGGGAAGGCGTAGAGGCGGTGGAGGTTCTTTGCAGTGGCGATACAGCAGAAGATTAGGTCTATCTAGACCTCGTAAAATGCGTGGTCGTCTTTGGCGCTGGTAATCGAGGCGGTATTTTGGTGTGCGGGATGATCATGGTAGATCTCAGATGTTCAGCTAGGTAACGCGGGGGCATCGACCTCCGACTCCACAACTCTTCCCGGAAGTACCTAAGCCCCAAGGATCTACACCTAGGCAAAGGCTGTGTCCCTGGATCGAATGCAGCATCGCATGCACTTTATTGAGCATCAACAGCGCCAGATCGACACATGTTGCCATGGCCACTACGCAGCGGCCAATGACGCGAGTCCGCCACTTCCGTAACCGTTGCAGGCCTTCCGTCATCGCTCTGCCCTGCGCAATCAAGCAGCCAATTCAGGCTTGAAGCTTCCCAATGTTGGAAACACCGTTCTCTCTAAGTTTAGGAACTTGACAGCCGGTATCCGTCCGTCTGGATCCACTTCGTTCCCATATCCTGATCTTGTACCTGACGTCGCTTTCTCCTTTCTGCTCATCTACTTCGATGGATGGGACTTGAGCGATTACTACCTTCACAACTTCACCGACTCAACCCGAATCACACTGATACACGCTTTCTGTGTCGAATACTAGAACCTCGATTACCTCCGGTCGCCACTTCACAATGGTCGGAGCTACAATCCAATTGCGCGAGGGCGCCGAGCTCGTCGGCGAACACGGCTACCGGTATCTTCTCGTGAAGCCACTCGGTCAGGCCAATGTATGGGTAGCTGTCGACGCAGCTTCTCAATCGAAGATCTTCATCGTGAAGCAACCCGGAGATGATGACGTCGGTTTTGGATGGCCAAAGTTCCAACACGAGATGATCATGCACGAGCTCCTCAAGGGCATTCCAACAATCCGACAACAAGTGGACCGCATCCCACCATCCGCTAGAGGCGAACCGCCCCGAATCGTGCTCGAGATCCTCCAATCGACTCTCTGGGATGCGCGCAAGAAGCGCCAGTTCAGCGATGTGGAACTCAAGGGTATCATGCGCTCGGCGTTGATGGGCTTGCGGGATGTGCATCAACGAGGCTTGGTGTATGCAGGTGAGCCTCTACACACACAACCAGGATGACAAGTAAAAGCTAACCCCACCCAGACCTGAAGATGCAGAACATCCTCCTAAGCGGCTTCGAAGACGAACCCAACAAAAAAGCCTCCGTCGGCGATGACCGCATCACCGCCAAACTCGGAGACCTAGGAATCGTCATGGAGCCAGCAAAAGGCCTCGTCCAACCCATCGTCTACCGCGCCCCCGAAGTCTACTTCCGCAACGAAATCAACCAGCCAGCCGACATCTGGTCCTGGGGCGTCATCTACTGCCAGCTCCTCGAAGCGCAAGCCTCCTTCAACAAATACGGCATCT